GAAATTGAAACTCTTGTACATTGTTGATGGAAATGGTGCAACCACTGTAGAAATGGTATGGTGGTTTCTCAAAAAGTTAAAAAATAAAAATTACCTTATGATCCAGCAACTCCTCTTGTGAATATATTCCCCAAAGAACTGAAAGCTGAGAAGATGTTTGTATACCCATGTTCATGGCAGCATTATTCACAGTAGTTAATGTGGAAGCAACCCAAGTGTCTATTGACTGATGAATGGATAAGCAAAATGTGGTATCTAAATATACTGAAATATCATTCAGCCTTAAAAAAGAAATTCTGTGCTGTGCTATTAACACGGATGAACCTTGAGGACCTTATGCTAAGTGACGCAAGCTAGTTGCTAAAAGACAAATACTGTGTGATTCTATTTATTTGAGGTACTTAAAGTAGTCAGAGTCATAAAGACAGAAATTACAATGGTGGTTGCCAGGGCCTAGGGTGGGGGGAATTAAAATAGAGAATTATTGTTCAATAGGTATAGAGTTTCAGTTTTACTAGATGAAAAGAGTTATGGGGATAGATGGTGGTTATGGCTACACAACAGTGTGAATGCACACAATACTACTGAGCTGTAGGCTTAAAAATAGTGAAGATGGTAAAATTTGTTATGTGTATTTTACCATAGTTAAAAAGAATTGTATTGCTTTAAACATTGTCTAAAATTTACTTGAATTTCAAATTGTTTAATTTTTTTTCATGTTCCCTGTATTTGAAAATGGTTTCAGTGGTGTTTTTTTACAAATGATGTGGTATGGATGTTGACTGGCTAAGTTGGCATATGATGTTCTTTCTTTGCCTTGTTGTGTGTCACAGTTGCACTGTTTTAAGGCTCATAGCACATTAAGGCTTTTGATAACACATTCTAGTTGATACAGTGTAATTTTTTTTCTTTATTGTTCTAATCAAAAATAGAACTAGTTGGGAAATAAAATATAATCACTTTTCCCTCAGTTGCTTTTTATAGAAAAAGTAAGTTAAGAAATGTGAAAAAATTGAACAGCCTTATAGTAATATTTATTAAGTCACTTAAGGTAGGATTTAGAAATAAATTTTATGAAATTAATATACTTTAATATAGTTCAGAAGTAAAAGTCCTGCTCCTCCTCCACCATCAAATACCTCGGTTATACTTTTAGGGCAGCAACTATGAACAGTTTCTTAAATAGCCTTCCAGAAATGTTCTGTGCATAGCTAAATATATGTGTATGAGTATATGATGGAATCATACACACATACACACAATGCCTGTGTACCCTATTTTTTTTAAAGAGAATAACACTTTTATAAGGTATTTTGAGTGACTTAAATGTGTTCCTCGGCAAATACATTAAGGAAAAGTAGACAAATTGATGTGCATGTTAAAAATATAACTCTTTTCATTATATTTATTTGAAGCCTTCTAATTATTCTAGTGGTATAGATTAAGAATAAAATTTCTTTAGTACAGTTTAATAACAGGTTAGATTTTAAAATCTTTTTATGAAAACATAAATAATTTTAATTTCTGTGGAAGATTTTTGCTCTTGATACATGTTCTTAATATCTAACATACTGAAAATAGTGGGAGTGGGATTTCTTTGGGAGTGATATTACTGTAAATGTTGTGTAGGAGGGGCAAGGGAGGAGGCTCTTTTTGTGTTCGATTATACCGTATTGTTTGAGGTTTTTTTTTTTAAAAAGCAATGAGCATATTCTACTTATATTAAAATGATGATTAAAAATGTCTTTAAAACATGTAATGACATAAAGGTAAATTATTCAAAAAGTTGTCCTCATAACTAAGCTTATTTTGTGCTTTGTTAATTGGGGATTTAGGCTTGTGTGGACGTCAGAGCCAGTTCAGTGTTTTGGCAGCAGATGGAATTTGCAGACAGCATCCATGGTCATCCCAAGTTGCCAGAATGGTTATCTACACATCCTTCTCATGGAAATCGAGCCGAGTCTTTGGATAGACTCATACCTCAGGTGAGCTGAGATTGCATAGGGCAAGACATTATTTTTACTGTATTACTTATTTTTAATGCTCTTACTTCTTGTACTTAGAAAAAGAGAGTTCTAGCCTGTCAGCTATTTTGATTGCTGTCACTTTTCAAAGGATTTGATTGAAAAGTAAAATCCTGCTAGTCTTGGAGAATAAATTGGTGTCCATAGTTGACTTTTCTTAATGATGAAGGTTTAACCTCTTTCGTATTGAACTTTCTAATTTTGAGTGATTTGGTGAAAGACTTAACCTCAAGGCATATTTTTCAACATATTGTTCATAATTTAATCTTTTTTTTTTTTTAGTTATTTAAGCTTTTCATTAAAAATACCAGTTAATGAGTTGTGTAAAAATGTTGAGTCAATTGGGTATTCTAGAAGTGATGCTGGAGTTTTTTTGTTTTTTTTTTAGGGAAAAAAGCCCCTTCATATTATTTTGCTTTCTGGTTATTTCTTAAACTGTGTGCTGTGTGGCTTTTTTTTTTTTTTGGTAGAATTTATTAATGGATCAAGGTGAAATAGCTTTCTTCCAAGTAGTAATCACTATCTTCTAAAAATCTTTTGCTTTAGCATCATTCAAAATATTTTCTGTGGTTTCCACATAGGTACAAATTGAATGTCAGACATCTCTAAGCCAGGCTACATGCCCTCTTCTGTCTCACTTGCATTTAGTTTGCTGGTTGATTATAAAGGCAGAATGTTCTTTAGCAGTTTAAGAATTGGTTTTGAGGGGAGAGTTCAAGTGGTAGAGCAAAGGCTTACCATGTGCAAGGTCCTGGGTTCAATCCCCAGTACCTTTTCTAAAAATAAGAAAGAAATCTAATTATCGTCCCGCCAAAAAAAAAAAAAAAATCTTAATGTTAAAAAAAAAAAAGAATTTGTTTTGGGCTGTTTGCTAAAGGATAGCACAACAGACATAGGTGTATTGTACAAGTATCTCTAAGTATGACTCCGAATTCAGATGAACACACACTGAGTACCTATTATAAAAAAAAAAAAGGATGTTAGATACATGGGAGCCAAAAGCAGTGATACATGGCCTTGATATTTTCAGGATGCTAAATAAGTACAAAATGATTCTTAATACAAGGAATGTGATTTATCATAAGAAAAGTAGAAATATAGTAGTATGCCTTTTGAAGGAAGAATAGCTTGCATCTAGTTTGGAATAAGAAACTACCACAAGATTAATTAATTTATTCATGTGAAGAGTATTTATTAATATTCATTGCTAATCTGCCATTCTTTGTTCTATTGCCAGAGAATAAGCAAGGAACAAAAGAGTCTGTTTTCTTGGAGCTAACATTCTAGTTAGCTAATGCAAATAATAAACATACATACATTATGTGAAGCATTGATGAGCATGTTGGGGAGAAATAAAACAGGTTAGAGGTAGATGAGAGGGCTGGGCAGTGGAGGTGTACTAGTGTGTGTTCATTTGTCAGGGAATGTCTCCCTTCATAGGATCTGGAAAGCAGCAGGGGAGCAAGTCCTGTGGATATGTGGAGGGAGAGTCTTTTAGGCTGAGAAAGCAGCAAGTGTACAGGACCTGAAGTGAGCGTATATGCCTGGTGTGTTCAAGGAACCACAAGGAAATGTTGGGGCTGAGTGGAGTAAGGGAGGGCAGGATGGTTGAGGTGAAAGGGTCCAGACTGTGAAAGGTCTTCTAAACCGTTTTAAGGGCTTGACTTTTATTTCAAGTGATGTGGGAAGCCACGAGAAGGTTTTGAGCAGAGGAGTAACTTGGTCTGACTCATGTGTTTTGTAGTGGTCACTGGGACTCCTGTGTGGAGGGTGGACTGTAGTCGGGCAAGGGCGGAATCAGGAAGACTGTTTAAGAGGCTCTTGCAATAATTCTGGAACGAGATTATGGAGGCAGAAGAGAGGGAGAGAAGTGGTCAGATTTTGGATATGTTTTGAAAGGAATGGTGACAGGATTTATTGATATTTTGGGCATACTTTGTGCCTTTTTTGAGAATTGGGGACAGCCAGACATGGGTTCTTGAGACCTATCCTAGATATATTTCATTTGTACTCTTAATATAAAGAAAAAATTTGTGAGAAAGAAACAGCAGTGAAATTTCTTTGACACATAATGTGTAGTAATCATTCATCTTAAAAGGCAACACAGGACCAGGATAACATGGTTCCTTAGTAACCATTTTATATTGAAGAGCACTGACTCTAAGAGTTTTCTTAGTGCTACCCAAGCCCCAGGACCTCATACTGCCCTGGGAGGCTTAACCTGCCTCTAAAGCCGTGATAACCACATGGTTTTGTCTTAGAATTTCCTTTCTTTTTATTTTTGCTGAATGAAATTCTAAAAATACATGGTTTACTTAAACTAGATAAAGAATTTTATCTGGCGCCTGTCCTAAATTCTGAGTTTTCATTTCATCAGACAACTATGGATCTTTAGAGAAGTAAAAAAATGTTCTTTAGAGAAGTCCTTAAAATAATAATGAATTGATTAGTGAGTATGAAGAAAAATGGCTCAAGAAACAGATAAGTTATTTGGGAGCCAGTGATGAAGAAAAAATTGAGAGATATTTTTCTTCTAAAAATAAACTATCCTACTTCAGAAACTTAATTTGAAAACCTTCTATAATTTCTTGTATTTTCCCCCCAAGTGATTAAATTCAATTTGAAAGTAATAAAACTCTACTACGATATTGGGAATAATTCAGTGGTTGAAGTGAAACTGAGTGCAAGAGTATACTGTTAATTAGAATACATAGCCATAATTCAGACCTTGAAATTCCCTACCATCATAGGTCTAATTTCTGTAATGAAAGAAAGCGATTCCTCAGGGAATGCAGAGAATTCTGTATGCTACTAAAGACTGTTTTTTTGGTTAGATTTTATTCCTGTGGTTTTTTTGCTACTTAAGTAGAGGGCAGTGTTATATTCTACCTAGAGGCAGTGGGTGGTGTTATATTCTACCTGAAGCTCCTGTCCTCTGACATTCCTGAATGTGCCTGAAGTGATGTATGTCTCAAAGGTAGTTGAGAACATAGCACCAGAGTACAGAGGTGTCTAGGCCAGAGGTAAAGATTTCAGTCACCCAAAAAGGTGATAGTTGAAGCAGTGAGAATAGGTGAGTTCACTTAGGAAGTAAGCAGAGAACGCAATCCTGGACAGTCAACAGTAGTAGGTGGATTCCACATTTAATTGGTAGGAGGAAGACAGAGCCCGTGGTAGACCAGCTTCATAGGAGGAGAGATCAAGAAAACCAGGAAAGCAAGATTCTTGGGTTCTGTGTGAATACAAATCTTGGTAATTTTGATTTTTAAAAAATTTAACTTACTAAAGGTTGTATATTTTTATTTCTTACTGTTTTTCTTGAATATCATCTCAGAAATATATTCCTTACCATAGCATATCGACATGTAAGATATTTTAAATCTGTACTTTATGCATTTAACAAATACTTATTGATTACCTGATATGTGCCAGATTGTAGATTAGTAGATACTGTGAACAAAATAGACAAATGAACCCTGCCCTGTGAATCTGCAGTAAAGGGTAACAGACAGTGAATAGAGTAAATTTGTAGTGTATAGAATAAAACACCGATATGTTGTATATTGGTAGTAAGTGTTAGGGAGGAAAGTAAAGGTGGAGAAATAGTGTATTAGCTTGGACTGCCATAACAAATGCCATAGACTGGGTAGCTTAAGCAGCAGAAATTCATTTCTTTGCAGATCTGAAGACTGGAAGTGTAAGATCAGTTTCCAGCTTAAGCAACAGAAATTCATTTTCTCTCAGTTCTGAAGGCTAGAAGTCCTTCAGTCCTAACAAGGTTTCAGCCAGTTCAGTTTCTGGTGAGATCTCTCTTCGTGGCTTGCAGACAGCTGCCTTCCTTCTGCATCCCACGGGGTGCAGAGAGTGATTGCATTGGCGTCTCTTCTTCTTCTTATAAGGGCACTATTCCATTGTGAGTCCCCTACCCTCATGACCTCATCTAAACCGAATCACCTCCCAAAGGCCCCATCTCCGAATACCTATCACATTGGGAATTAGAGCTTCATTCAAGATAGGAATTTGGGGAGGACACAGTTCATTCTGTAGCAGATAGGTAATGTGTGAGTAGAAATGGTCATAGTGCTGGAATAGCTGTTTGAAATGGGCTTGGTTAGAGAAGATTTCACTGAAAAGATAGTATCTGAATGAAGACTTGAAATGAGTGAGTGAGCCGTGTAGCTGCCTAGGAGGAAGAGCCTTGCAGGCAGAAGGAGTAGTCAGCACAAGTTCCCGAGGCAGGAGTGAGCCTGCGTATCTGAGGGCCAGCAGAGGAGCCAGTGGAGCTGGATGAGGTGAGCAAGGGAAGGTGGGGGGTGCAGGCCTTGTATCCGCACAAAAAAAGGACTTTGGCTTTAGCTCAGATATGGAACACCAGTGGAGGGCTTTGAGCAGAGGACTAGAGGAATAACAGGATTTGAATTATGTTTGAAAAGAATGTGATCTACAGCTCCTACAAAGCAGTACAGTCCTGATTTTATAGTATTTTTAGTATAGTATACTGTTCAGAAAATAGACTAGTTCCTTTTCTTGTTTTGTTTTTAAATCAAGAAAACACCCCCAAATTAGAAAAAAATACCCTTTTTTTTTAAATATGAATTCTGAGATAAAAGTATGTGTAAATGCCTAGTTAAATGTAATCCTCTGATCCACTAGCATTTAAAAAGGATAAATATAGGGTTGTAATAATAATAATATTTGTAGTTAATAATATGTTATAATTTTATTTACTTGAGATAATCAGTTAAATTTAGGAAACATATTCCACATATTCGGTTACCATAACAACTTGGGTGAAAAATTGAAGAGCAGATGTTAAACCAACCTGTTGATGTTTAATAGTATGACAGTTTTGAAATTATAATTTTCAGATTTTAAATTGTATATGCCATACACTGTGTTTGAAAGAGATTTACCCTATTTACTTTCCTTTCTGTAAGTATTGTCATACAATATAAATAGATGTGAATAAGAGAAGTTTTATGATAACCCAGGGTAGAAGTTTACTTGAAAGATTTATTTTACAACCGAAAGCATTTATACTGAATTTTTTATTTTTTCTTCTCTTACCAACTCTCTGCCATTCTTTCCTTGGTGGGGAGGGGTGGTTAGAGAATAATAGAATATGTAGGAAAAACATTTAATTTGGACTTACTAGTTGTCTGGGGTTATGTTATTGTGATCATAATTTTGAATAGGATTTATTTTTTGATGTTCTTAGAACCTTCCATATCAGCTTTATTTGTAAATTGTTTTTTAAATCTTGAGTTTCAAATTTACTGCATTTAATTTTTAGGTATGAGTATCACTCAGTGGCAGACTGTAAATGCATTCTTTTTAATCTCATTTTATTTTGAATTCTTTAAGCTTTCAGGAAGCTGAGCGTTTTAACTCATGTGTAAATCATTCTTATGCATTTATAATTGGACAGAGTAAATGCATAAATCATTAATATACATCTCATGAGTAGAAAATATGAGAGTGTTTAACATTGAAGTGAAATGTCGTTGTTGGCCAGTGTACACAAACACACACTGTTCACCTTGCAGAATTTCATTTTGTCTGACATGAAGAGTGTTGAGGAAAAGGCAAATATCATAGCAGCTACTGTAATTGAATTGGCCTCTGAATCATATAAAGCCAGGAAGCCTGACAGTAACATTGTCTAAAACTTTAAAAAAAATATTATGGTACATGTAATGTGTATCTACTTGAGGCTGGAATGAATGGGCTATTAGGGAAAAATTGCTTTTTAGGGGGAAGGGCAGAAAAGTAATGGTATTTTTAGAAAAACACGTTTAAAAAACGGAGGTGACTTTTTTCCCTTGAAATGTCTTGGTTTCTGTTTTCAAAGGAAACTTTTAATTTAATCATGAGTCTTCTTTGGCATTATTTTTTTCCCTGCTTTTTTCTTTTTTCCTTTTTAAATTTTACTATAGTATTTTTATGAATAAGTAATTGCTGTTTTACTTGATGTGTAATACCTAGAAGAATCCTCATGTGTACCAGTAGTTGTTTTATAAATATATCAGTTGTTTGGGGGAATAAATACAGCCATTTCTTAATCCAGCATTCTCCTGTGTTAGGAGTGGTTGATTATAAAATTTTATTTGAAAACTTTTCCATATTATTTTATCATTCAAGAGGACAATTGACCTGTGTCAAGGTGGCCTTAACTTTAATTTTTTATATTTACTTACTTAAAATTTTTAGTTATTTTTACTTAATTCTCTTAGACAACTTCAAAAATTAGACTTTAATTTCCATTGCAGTTTATGAAAGGAAATGAAATGAGTTAGAGGAAAATATTTTTAAAGGTTAAATCATAACTTATAAAATGAACTGTATCTGAGATTTTATTTAACTTATTCATGAAGGAGCCAGTAATATGTTACAACTAGCTCAAATGACTTCACAAATAGGTGCAGAACTGACACGTTCATAAGGCAATAGTCGATTGCATTCCACCAGACATAGTTCTTTTCCTTTTCCACGAGTGTCATTTGTATTGTTTTAAGTTTTCTGCAGCTTACACGGTGGTAAAATAGCTCTAAGGCCATGAAAGGCAGAGATAATACCCAGGGATGCACTTGATAGGACACCAAATGATCTTTAAGTCCATTTCAGATTCTTTCACAGTTTTCTGTTTTTATTTCCTTTTGTCTTCAATTAGCTTTTCAAGTAGATACTAAATCAAATCATCCTGTCAGACTAATAAATACACAGAATTTTTGCTTTGTTATTTTTAAGTAGCCACATAGGCATTACCTTTGTTGTATTTTCTGTCTCTTAAAGTGGTAACATGCAAGTCTCATTAATTTTTGTTAAATTTGTTTCTAGTGAGTTTTTACACTGAGGTTATTGATGCTAAAATTCTAGGTCTTTTGCCTCCAGAAATTAAGGGAGAGAGTTGGAAATTGAGAGGGTGTAAAGGGACTGGTTTCATTTTTCAGGAGAAACATTTAAACGTCTCATGAGCCATTTAGAACTAAAGATACCGTTGTAAAATCAAGAATGAAGTTACAGAAATGCAAAAATGACAGGAGAAGGGTGGATAGAGAGGAAAAAGTTTTTTTAAGGACTTTTTTTAGTGTTACTTTTTATTATGAAATTTTAAAAACACGTGAAGATAGAGACTAATTTGAATAATGTAATGAACCCCCCCTTTTTTACTCACTCGTATTCAGTAGCAGCAACCTTCTTATACACTTGCTTCATCTGCCCCTTCTCTTATTTCTTTCCCCGGAAGTATTTTAGTGCAAATCCTAGACATTGAGGGCTTTCCCTCCTAATTAGTTCAACATGCATTTTAGAAAGTAGTATCATCTTCTTCCATAATCATACCATTATCATAGCTAAGAAAATTAAGTAATTCCGTAATAAAATTAATTATCTTGTGCATATTCTAATTTCTCTGTCTCAAAATAGAATTTTACAATTGGTTCAAATCATGATCTGTCAGGATCCACACATTGCATTTGGTTGCTCTGTCCCTTATGTCTCAGACTTTAGAGCAGTGCCCCTCCCCTTTGTTTTGTTTGTTTTTAAATGTGTCATTGATGTGTTGAATAAATCTACGCTCACATTCTAGATGTAACTGATTGCTCCTTTGTGGTGTTGACCAACTTGTTTCTCTGTATACCTATAAATGGAAGTTACATTTTGGTAAGAATATTTTATAGGTGGTACAACTATGCTTCATATTGCTTCACAGCAGGTTGCTCTTAATCTGGCTGCTCCACATTCAGTGATTCCACATTCAGTCAGGGGGTTTGGATGGTGGTGGCCTAACCCCTCCTTTGGAAACGCAGTTTTTCCCCTCGTGCAAGTGATTGTGGAGTGATGATTTAGCACTGTGCAAAAGATCCGGTACTTCAGCTACCTGAGAAGTGTTTTTGATTGAGGAAATGTCATCCTCCTCTGTCTCAGAAGGCTAACTGGAATGTGTCTTCAAGAGGAATCTATATAGAACAATGAAGAAGGAACTCAGACCAGCCAAGTCAACTCTAATGGAATAAAAGATACTGCAGCCACATTTTTATCCTTCTCAAGAGTAGATTTACAAGGTGGGTAAGAGATTTTCAAAAAATCAGAATGATGAGTGCATATGAGTTGAAAGGAAAAATGATCATAGGTAACTATTGAAAAGACTATATATAGTGTCTGAGTGTCTTTAACTAACGACACTACAAGGACCTTCATTTAAACTAAATCCAACAATAACAACAACAACAAATCCTCTGAAATGCCCATTTCCCCCCAGCAAGATGAGCTTCATCGAGTAGAAAAATCAAAAAAACAAAACCAAATCTCAAATCTCAGGTCTAATTTTAAAGTTTTGCTCCATTGGGGAGGACAGCCCAGGTGACGAGAACTGCAGAGGCAGCAGCACCTGAAGCTGACATGATGAGGCTGCTTTAACGACACTGAAAGTGACAGAGGAGGAAAGAATGACTTTGCAAATGTAAGATACATCCATTTCAGAAAATTGCTAAACTTGTGAGTACAGCAGAGAAGCCAGAAAATTTTCATTGGAGGCTGTAAGGAGCAAAATGGATGCCTCAGAGCAAAGACTCATTGATGCTGGAGATAGAGGCGCATAGCACAACCAAATTAAAACATCCAGAGCTTTTAAAAAATGTCTAAAAATAGAAGAATATTGAAAAGACACAAGGAAATCCAAGCTGAATGTGACAGTGGTAAGGACCAGTACATTCATTCATGCCTTCATTTCTTTGACTTTGGTTTCTGTATCACATTTTTTGATTTAGGTAGCATTTCTCAAGATGGGTTTTTAGAAGAATCATGCATGAGAGCCTGATGTGAAGATCACTGGATAGTTAACTTTATCAAGTGTTCAATCTTCATTGCAAAGACAGGCCCTTACAAGATGCCAAGGTCTAAGGAGAAAACTTAAAAACACGTGAGGAGTAAGAATGACTCCCCATAAGATGCGTTCCCTTCTCCGTCAGCGTTCCACTACCCTTGTGAAAGTCACCATCTTCTCTCCCCTAGGTTAACGACAGTCATCTCCTATTCTGATTTTCTTGTTCCACTCTTCACCTCAGTCCCTAACAGCCTATTTTCAGTACAGTAGTCAGAATGCTCTTTTTAATGTCATTTCCCTTCTTAAACCCTTACATTGGCTTCTCATTTAACTTTGAATAAAAATCCAAACTCCTTACTGGGTCTTTAAATCATGTGATTTGGCCACTGCCTGCTTCTCCAGCTTCTTCACTCGTCGCCCTCCACAGGTTTCTCTCAATCCCCGCGATTTGATGTGGAGTTTGTTTCCTACTTACAGCTCCTGTGCTTGCTGACTTCTCTGTCTGGAATGTTCTTCCCTCAGCGCTTTGCACAAATGTCATGTCGCTGGGGAGGCTTTTCCTGTCCCCCAATTTCAAATAGCCTTTCTTCCGTGTAGTCCTTCTGTAACACAGTTTATTGTTTAATTTTTTATTGTACTTAGCTAAAACTACCTTGTTTACTTGTTTATTATCTATCTCCTCTCCTAGAATGGAAGGCCCCTGTTCAGTGCGGTCTCCCTAGCGCCTGGGACAGTTTCTGAGATGTTTAGTGAATATTTGTTAAATTACTGCATGATGGATAATAATAGGAAAGACAAATAATAAAATATTAGGTTAAAAATAGAAAAGTTGGTCAGTGCAATTGAATAGCAGTTACATTCTCTCATGGAAATGTAGCATGTAGCAAATTAGTAGTGGGAAGAGGGTGCTTATAGGAAATAGTGAAAAAATAGCAGTGGTCTAAGGAGTTTTGTGTTTAAAATTCTGACATACCCACCTAACTTTGAGGAAGTTATCTAATCTAACCCTCAGCCTTCTTCATCTATAACATCGGGATAACAATGTCTCCTGAATGTTTTATGTATATAGTTGTATGTTTGTGTGGGTAAGATCCTGCCCTTCCCTCTTGCCTTTTTCCCTCTCTTCTTCCCTCCCTCCCTTATAAGACACTTTAATGGTAAGTATTTCACACTGAGCCCAAGATATGAAAAATGGTTCATAATAACACCCATTTAGAGAACATTAAAATACCAGGCACAGTGTAAACCACATAGAAAATGGACAGTAAGTGTTAGTTCTTTGCACTCCTGGTTGGAATCTTTAGGTAGCTAATTCCATATTTAACTCCAGATCTTCCTTGGGATTCTTAGAGCTATATATCCCTGTTGTTAGAGTACATTCCTGCTTTCTCATAGACTGTAAACTCTTAAGTGTTTTTCCTATGACATTTATCATAATGATTTATTCATAGCTTGCATTCTATAAATGTTTGTTTAGAGTTCAGCATGCATTTATTAAGTACCTATTATGTGCAGTGCATGATGTTAAACACAGAAAACAAAATAAAGGAGATGGAAAGACATATTCTAGCTGTACAGTGGGAAAATGTTTACTTTTAAAGAGATGAAGGCATATTTAATAAGATAGATTTGAATTTATAAAAGTAAAAGATGTTGACACCCTGAAATGTAATAAAAATAAATGTGGAAAGGAAAGTGAAAAAAAGAATATTTTACCACCATATGTGATAAAATCTTACTATGCAAAATAGGTGAAGATTGATGGAAATATGTATGGTCTGTAACAGGATTCTGTGTGATAGGTAGAGGAGAAAAACAGTTCATACATGAAGAAATAGCAATAGAAAACTTTTACAAAGAATATGTAGTTTTTCTAACAATTAAGGAAACATAGCTCAGATACCTCCAAAGTACATTTTGTTCAGTAAAAGATTTACTCAAGACACATACAGTGTGGTGCAAAAAAAATTAGTATAAACACATGTAATGCAAAAGCATTAAAAAAACAAAAAAAACAAAAGTGTGTTCTTATCCCTTTTTTCCTAGCCTTTTTACTTCCATGCCAGTTTTTTAGAAAATAGACTTTATTTTTAAGAGCAGTTATAGGTTCACAGCTAAATTGAGTGCAACGTACAGAAATTTCCCATATACTTCTTGCTTTCATATAGATACAGCCTCCCCCCACTATCAAAATCCTACACCAGAGCGGTGCATTTGTTACAACAGATGAATCTTCATTGACCTATCATTACATCCCGAAGTCCATAGTTTACATTAGGGTTCACTTCCAGTGTTGTACACTCTGTGGGTATGTATAGTGTATAATGACATGTCTTTATCATTATAGTGCCACATAGAGTAGTTTCGTTGCCCTAAAAATACTCTATGCTCTGCCTGTTTATCCCTCTCTTCCCCCTAACCCCTGACAACCATGAATCTTTTTAGTGTCTTTATAGTTTTGCCTTTTTCCAGAGTGTCATGTATGTAACTGGAATCATAGGCTATGTGGCCTTTTCAGATTTTTTTTTAACTTAAAAACATGCATTTAAGATTCCTCTATGTCCTTCTAAGCCTTGATAACTTACTTCTTCTTACTGCTGAATAATATTCCATTGTCTGGTTGTAACACAGATTATTTATCCGTTAACCTACTAAAGGACATTGTGGTTGCTTCCAGGTTTGGGCAATTACAAGTAAATAAATTAATAAACAAGCACCAAGCAGTTTTTCGTTCCCTGCCAGTATCTTAACCTCTCTAGGGCTCCATTTCCTCAACTGTAAAATTTAGCTGATGATTTCTAAGGATTCTGAGTCTTAAAATGATGTGGTTATCTAGACAGAAAAATAATCAAATCTTACGTCATACTGATTATGAATAACTCAGGTATGCCTGTATGCTGATAACATGATAAGTTGGTAAAGACTTTCTGGTGGAAAACAGTCTGGTCCTATATAACAAAAATTATACTCTGTTCTTACTCTTTGTTCAGATCATTCTATTTTGGGGATATCCTTCAAGTAAACTCAAATGGAGATTTTAAAATAACCTTTTCTTTTTAAGCAAACATTTTTGTAGCAGGGTAATTTATAAAAGCCAAACAAAGCAAAACCATGAAAACAATTTAAATGCCCAGTAATGGGGAAATGCAAAAATAAGCTGCATGAGGGCAGGGACCATGACTGTTCTGATCGGTGTATACCTAGCACCTTACTCAGTTTGGTGTTCTAAATATTTGTTGAATGTAAAAATACTGGTAAGATAACTTAAGGGAAAGAGAAGAGCTTTTACTGAATAGGAAAGATTGTAGGAGGCAGCACTCCTCTTCGGTTTGTTTGCTGCTTTGCATCTCTCACTGCCAAACTCAGCTGTGCCAGCTGTTACCTGCTGAACTCCCCACTGGGCCCCTTTACTGAAACCAGTGAAGGCCTTCGACGTGTGTTGTAGCAGCCATGAAGTGGCTTCTCACGTGGAAAAGAACAATGTAGTTGTAAAGGAGTTAAAGCAAGAGTCGACTCTGTGTCCCAGTTTGGCCAGGACAGTCTCAGTCTGTGCCTGGTGTCTCAGTGTAAATCTTCTTTTATAGCATTTCCTTTCTCTCGCAAAGATATCCTGGTTTGTACAGTAGGTCACCGTTCAGCTGAGGGTCTGACTTTCTGTTTACGTCAGTGCTGTAGTTGGGAAACATTTTCTTGCTTTTTCTGTTCAGTTTACTTTGATGAACATTTACTTAAACTTAATAGATGTAAGATACATTTTACTCTTGTATTTTGTTATATAAAGAGAGTTCAGACAAGGCCTCTGTCACCGAAGAATTTCACTTTCATGCTTTTTCCTCTTTAGTTTATTTGGGTAACTCATAGCCTCATTCAGAGTCAGAAGTCTTCTAGACCCAAGCTCCTGCCCTGGCCTCAGCCATTTAAAAGACTTTTCTGGTTTGCCTCTGGTTGTATGCCCCCCTGTCCTGTGGGGCCTGAGGGAATATTCCCTAAGAACCTGTGACCCACCACATGGCACTCTGGTATTTGGGATACTGGAATTCCTCATCCAAACACTTTTGAGCCTGCTTGCAGGGGCTTTGTGGACCTCTTCCCTTGGACGGCTGTACGCAAGGCCCCTCACAGGGCCAGGTAAGCCAGGGCTGGGAGGAGGAGGGAGTGGACAGCAGGCCAGTGGCAGCAGCTGGGGTCGGCTCCCTGTAACTTTATGCACTCCAAAATTCAAGAATTCTAATTTTTGTCCCTGGCCATTAGGGCCATTTTGAATGTCTGTTCCTCAAAGCGGAACAGAGCATTTTTCCTGTAGTTGTTTTAGATGTTTAAACATATGGTATCTGAGCCTCTGTTTGCATTCTTGGCATGGACCACGCAAACATCAGGGGCAGGCCCACTCAGAGTAAAACCCAGAATCCTTACTGAGACCTGTGAGATCCCACGTAACCTGCTCCTGCCTCCTACCCCATTGTGCTGCAGCTGTACTGGCTTCCTCACCGTCTGAAACACTCCAGCCACACTCCCGTCGCAGGTTCTGGCACTCACTGCTGCTGCTCGGAATTCTCTTCTCGGTACCCACGTGACTTCTTCCCTTGTGTCCTTGTCCTTAAGGTCTCCCCCCTGCCTCGACAAAGCCCTTGTTTTATCAGTGAGACCTTGTGTACCTTGTATATCTAAAATTTTACTACTTCTCCAAACTCCGACTGTCCCCTTCTCTGCTTACTTCCCTTAACATGCCTCACTATCAAAACATTAGAAATAGTAAAAAACCAAGCTAGCTTTTTTAGCCCTAAACATCTTTCTTTTAAAACCTTTTAGGTATTAAGACTTTTTTTCCTTTAAAAATTGCTATTTTAGTTTTTATGTCTGAAAGTCCCTACCCTGCCCTCAGTTTCAAGGGTAATGATTTCCAGCTCTCTTACATGATTCTTTTGTTATTTCCCACTATGTCTATGTAGCACACTTATATTGCTACTTCCTAACTTTTGAGTTCTAGGCATTATCTATTTATTTTTCCCCGTGGAGGATGAATTATGCTCTCCCTTGTCAGCGTCACACCCTGTGCATGCACACACGTATATCCAGCCCTCCCCCTTCCAGTTATGATTAAGTTGTAATTTTGGTTAGGTAAAGATTCAATTTTTAAAACATTGGTCACTAGTCGCAGTAGTGTACTGTGATTCCTTTTATTTTCCCTGCAGCATTTCACTTTTCCTGGCATTAAAACTTGCCATGGTTTTGATTTGCTTGCTTTCCTCGGTTATTACATCCATTCTATCCCAGACTGTTCCAGTTATGGATATCTTCCTTCAGTGCGTTCCCATCTATTTTCAGTTGTTTTCTTTTTCTTGAAAAAAATCTCTCTGAGTCTTCAGATCTTCTCTAATCTGAATGCTGTTCTCAGTGTTGGCTCAGGTTTGACAAATTATAGAGATACCTCTAAGAGGTCCTGTTTATCTCCAGCAGGACAGTGGACAACTGCAGATACAGTTGGGGTTTTTTGCAAATATTTTCTTATATGAATAAATCATGAAAATGTAACTATTTACCTTGAATTTATATGAAATTCTCTTTTCATATGTTGTAAGATAACTTTTATTCCAAAAATACAGAATATATTCTTATATTTCATTGTTTTGCATAGAGCATATTAGGAATTACTGGGATAACCTTAATAAAGTTATATGTGTGTATATACTTTGTATTGTATTCTTTCTTTATAGGCTCTCAAAATTAGAGAGGCCTGTAATTGCCCACCACTTTCTGGACCAGACCCTCGATTACTATTCAAACTCAGCATGAAGCATTTTCTTGAAGAAGCAGAGAAAGAAGATGTGAATATCACTGTTAAACAGAAAATGGATACTCTTCCCATTCAAAACCAGAATCAAATACCATTAACATATATAGTTGAGAAAAGAACTGGCAGTTGAATTAAAATTTATGAGACATAGGATATATGAAGAATGCAACAATCCTTATTATTTTTATGTTACTTTTTTAAAAATGATGTTTGAAGTGAAAAAAGGATACTCAAGTTCAAATCATGTATATTACAGGTATTATCTAAACTCTTATACTAGATATTTATTTTTCATGAAATATTGATGTATTTTAATGTATTTTAAAATAACTTCAATGAGGAAAATGTCACAGAATAAATTTATATAACACATTTTACTCTGTCTTATACTTTTGATTTGGAAGGCAGACCTCTAGTGAATGAAAAGTCAGAATGTGCAGTAGTTGTTATTGTTGAGCATTCCAGCTGAGCCTAAACTGGGTTTTAGAATCTGAATAGTTATGATGAACTGGGAAACTACCAGTCTGAAATATGCAGAAATTGGTTTGCCTTAGGGTGGGATTATGTGGACTAGGAGATCTTGGGATAGAAAGTTTCCTGGTCCTCACGTATGGATGATGAGGGATTAAGAAGAAGCTGAAGAAGCTTTTTTCATAGGGAGGCACAGGTAGTGTTGTTTGTGGTCCAAGTGGCAAAGTAAGAAACGAAGTGAGGAGAGAGGGTCATGTCCTTGCAGACATAGGTGCTTCTGGTGCATGAAGTCTTAACAGGAAATCATGCCATTTTAGCTCCTTGATTGCATTACAGTTTGAATACCTCTGGGGTTCTCAGAGAAGGCAGCCACCCTGTTCTCACTGAGGTATCACCCGCAGAGGCAGGGGCAAGACACTGCCCCCAAGTTGGTCTCCCTGGGCAGCAGACATCGACAAAGGGCTGGGTGATGATGAGGGAGGCACAGGTGACATCCCTAGTGATGCTGCCGAATTACTGTATTATCTAAGTGTGGAAATAGGTTTCAAAATTGCATTATTATTTATATATTATTTGTACTCCCAAACTGATGAAGTCTAGTGATGTTGAAGTTATATTCCTAAGAGGGACATTTTTCTTGAAACACATGACATCAAATAAATAGTTTCTCACAGAAACCACCATTTATTGAGTTCCTACTGTGAGCTGTGCCCATTGATTCCACAACCCTGTGAAGTAGGTTTTTTTACAGACACATCTCAGAGATATTGCAAGTTTGCTTACAGACCACTGTGATAAAGTGAGTCATGAATTCTTGGTTTCCCAGTGCATATGAAAGTTATCTTTATACTGCAGTCTATTAAATGTGCAGTCTCACATTATGTCTAAAAAGCAATATATGTGCCTTAATTGAAAAAATAATGCTGTTGGAATTTAAGAGAATAGAAATTACTTCAGGCATCTTTTCTGACCACAACGCCATGAAACTAGAAATCAACAACAGAAAAACAACAAAAAAATGATAGCATGGAGAGTAAACAACACGCTACAAAAAAAAAAAAAAATCAATGGGTCAATGATGAAATCAAAGAATACATTAAAAAGTATTTTGAGATACATGACAGTGAAAACACAATCACACAAATTCTATGGGATGCAGCCAAAGCCAGTGCTAAGAGGGAACTTCATAGTGATACAGGCCTTCCTTAAAAAACAAGAACAATCTCAAGTAAACAATCTAACCTATCACCTAACAGAATTTAAAAAAAAGAAGAGCAAACAAAACCTCAAGTCAGCAGAAGGAAGGAATAATAAAGGTCAGAGAGGAAATAAATAAAATGGAGATTAAAAAATAATAGAAAAAAATCAATCAAACCAAGAGCTGTGTTTTTGAAAGAGCAAACAAAATTTACAAAC